TCATAAGGTTCACAAAAAGAAGCAGACCTAAACTTGAAGGCCTGAGTCTCACACAAGAATCAGAAACTACAAAAGCAATTCATATGTCAAAATCACAGAGAAAAAATAATAACATGAAAAAACAAAATAACATATCCCCACCAAATACCAATAGTCCTCTAGAGGAGTACAATCAGAACCCCCTAGAGATAATGCAGTATGTGGAACTCAAAAGAACAATTATAAACATGATAAAAGAATATAGTGAACTTGAAGATCACACAAAGAAATTGAAGAACTGAAGGAAGATAGGGATAAACTTCTGAATGAATTCAGAAAAGGGTTAGAAATATTGAAGACTACTCAGGTTGACATGAAGAAGGAAGTGAAACACTCAGTAAGCCAATTAGAAATGAAAGGAGAAAGCCTCACCAATAGGATGAATGAAATGGAAAACAGGAATACCAAGACTGAAAGATAAAGTGCACGAACTAGACCACTCAGGCAAAGATTATGAAAAATTTAAGAAATCACAAGAATGGAATATGCAGGAATTGTGTGACATCATGAAAAGACCAAACTTATAAATCATAGGCTTAGAGGAAGGAGAAGAATTTCAGGTTAATGGTACTGACCAGATCTTAAACAGGATTGTAGAAGAGAGTTTCCCAAAATTAAGGAAAGACATGCCCATACAAATGAAGCATATAGAACACCAAATAGACAGGACCAGCAAAGAAACTCTCCATGGCACATCATAGTAAAAACACTAAACATACAGAACAAAGAGAATACTGAGAGCTGCAAAAGAAAAACAACTAGTCAGATATAAAGCAAAACCCATTAGGATTACAGCTGACTTTTCAGCTATGAAACTATGAAAGCCAGAGGAGCCTGGACCAAAGTAGCCCCAGTTTTAAATAACCACAGATGCCAACCCAGATTGCTATACCCAGCCAAAATGTCTATTATAGTTGAACAGGAAAGAAAAACCGTCCATGACATAAATAGGCCGAAGGAATTTATGTCCACATACCCAGCCCTTCAGAGAGTTCTTGAAGCAATACACAGAGCTGAAGAAGGAAATGACTATACCCAAGGGGTTGTGGAAAGAAATTCAATAAAGGTATAACTGTAGAGAAGTACAGCTATATCAAGTATGTGAACAGAAATAAAAATGACAGGATTCAATGCACATCTTCATTAATAACTTTAAATATCAATGGACTGAACTCCCCAGTCACAAGACACAGAGTAGGTGAATGGATTAAGAATGAAAACCCATCTTTTTGTTGTCTGCAAGAAACTCATCTCACTTTCAAGGACAGGTGCTAACTTAAGGTGAAAGGATGGAAAAAAAAATATACCAAGAGAATGGTGCTAAGAAAAAGCAGGCATTACAATTCTAATATCTGACAAAATACACTTTAAACTAAAACTAATCAGAAGAGATAAAGAGGGCCATTTCATTCTCATCAAAGGAACAATAAACCAAGAAGGTAGTACAATCATGAACATTCACCAAACTCTGGTGCACCCAACTCCATAAAAACATTACTACAGGATTTTAAGACCCAGATTAACCCCAACTCATTAATTGTAGGGGACTTCAATACCCCACTGTCTCCATTAGATAGGTCAACAGGTCAGAGAGTTAGCAGAGAGATATCTGAATTAAACAATAGTATATATCAAGTGGACCTAACAGACAT